AGGGTTTAGGGTTTAGGGAGGCTCTATACACCGCTCTTCATTCAGCAATTCTGCTCAAAAACTACCCTGGAATCAGGGATCTCTTTCACAACGAAGCAAAAGCCGTCAGAGATGACGTGTCGAAGGCAATCCCAAACAAGTTTAGGGTTTAGGGTTTAGGACTTAGGGTTTGGGGTTAGAATTGAGGGTTTAGGGCTTAGTGTTGAAGGTAAAACCAGGCCGGCTTCTGATGCATGAACTGGGCGAGGATGAAAGCTGCAGGATCCTGCTCATCTGACCTCTGTTCTTCTGGCATCGGACAGTTTAGAGAGTTTAGGGTTTAGGGCTCAGGGTTTAAGGTTTAGGGTTTAGGGTATAACACCTTGCTAAGGACAGTTTACGGAGGATTCCGTAACTCGTGCGAAAAAACCGTGACGAGTTGAAGGATGTTCTGCACTTAAGGGGAAGCAAGAACCAAACTCGTACCATGTTTCCCTTAAACCTATAAACCTGAAAGAAATTTCAAGACACAGCGAAGAGGCTGAAAACATGGAATCAGGTCGTCAATGGGATTCAGAGGTAAGCCTCGGAAGTGCACCGCTTGGAGGTTCAGCATGAGACGATAGTCGTGGAACTTCGCTTTCAGAAGATACGACCGCATCTTCGTACTCACCTGGGCACTGGGGGATTTGAGAGACATCGCAAAACAAGACAATTGCTAATATCTACATGTATCTATCTATCTATCTACCTATCTATCTATCTATCTACCTATCTATCTATCTATCTATCTATCGATCTATCTGTTTATATATATATATATATACATGTAGGCATGTGCATGTATATATACATACGTATATACATATATACATATATATATATATATACATAAAATGGTCACCCCCCCCCCCCCCCAAAGATCTGCAGAGGTAGATCTTGGGGGGGCGAGCATATATATATATATATATGTGTGAAAGAGAATGTATTTATGTATAGATGTATATGTATAGATGTATATGTATATATATATATATGTATGTATGTGTATATCGAGAGACCACGGACCACAGCGACAACCAAAATCCAAAATGCACACCGCACCACAGCCAGGAGCCATGAAACTTCCCGGAGCACTGACCCTAAACCCTAAACCCTAAAACACTAAACCCGAAACCCTAAACCTGAAACCCTGAACCCTAAACCCTAAGACCCTGAACCTATGTTCCGTAATTAAAGGATCTTGGACCAATACGTCGTGGCTCCGAAAGCAGGAACCAGAAAGATCCCGAAAGTGGTGCAACACTTTTTCGGGCATTACTTGCCGATTTAGGCTCCAAAACTCTAAACCCTAAACCCTAAACCCCTAAACCCCTAAACCCCTTAAACCCTAAACTCCTAAGCCCTAAACCCTAAACCCCTCAACCCTAAATCCCAGACCTGAAACCCGAAAGCCTTACAACTCACTGACAAAAAAAGGGCCCAGCCGCCATGTCCCGCAAGACCGGAGCGATCCTCCGGCGGTCTGCATCGACCTCGGAACCGCTCCCAAAGGCTGGGTTTAGGGTTTAGGGTTTAGGGTTTAGGGTTTAGGGTTTAGGGTTTAGGGTTTGGGGGTTGTAGGGAATATAGGGTTTAAAGGGGTTTAGGGAATATAGGGTTTGGGGGCTTAGGGGTTGTGGGGTTTAGGGGTTGTAGGGAATATAGGGCTTAAAGGGATTTAGGGAACATAGGGTTTAAAGGTTTAGGGTTTAGGGAATATAGGGGTTATAGGGTTTAGGGGTTTAAGGTTTAGGGTTTAGTGTTTATGGGGGTTTAGGGTTTAGGGGTTAGGGGTTTAGGGGTTATAGGGTTTAGGGTTTAGGGGTTTAGGGTTTAGGGGTTTGGGTTTAGGGGTTTAGGGTTTAGGGGTTTGGGGTTTAGGGGTTTATTAGGGGTCTAGGCAATGTAGAGTTTAGGGTTTAGGGTTTAGGGGTTTAGGGTTTAGGATTTGAGGTTTCGAGGCTTAGGGTTTGAGGATTTGAGTTGCATAAACAAACAGTATGGCACCCTTACAAAACACCCTGAGAGAGACCTCAACTTTAGACATCTACCCAGATGGGCACTTGGAAAGCCCTTGTAAGGAGGACTGACCCAAAGCATCTCACAAAATATCCAGCTCTACTTATCTAGCACCCTCCGAGGTAGCAAACAGATTGGACCTTGGGGGTGAATTCAGCTTCTCGGCTTCAGGAATAAGTAAGCTCTTCGGCATGCGTAGTTCAGAAGGCCAGATCTCCGGTAAATCTCTTCGCGGCAGCGGCGGAAACGGTTACCACAAGAGACTAAGTGACCAGTGCAGATCCTTAACCCCCAGTTTGTCTTTGATAACAAACCCTAAACCCTAAACCCTAAACCCTAAACCCTAATTCCTTCACAGCCTTGGCCTTGACACCATACGAAATCAGATTCAGGTGCCGT